GGCCTGGGCAGGCCTCTGCCTCTGGGAGCTGCCGTCCAACTCGGGCGCCAGGCAGGCCAGGTAGTTCCTCTCTCTCGGGTTCTAGTTGCTCAAGACCCTAATGGTAAGAGGAGGCGCCTTCCTGCTCCCATCCCCCTCCTGCCCCTTTCCTTTCCTCTCCCCCCATTATCCCCCCCAGTTTTTACCTGTCTTTGCCTATCCAGTGCCTCAGGAGACAGAAGCAGCCACAATCAGTCCTTCTGATTCTGCCAGGAAACTTAGAAGGGTTTAGGGATACTTCTTTAGGGAACCCTGGTGAGGTAGAGTGTGGTATCCTGGAGAGGGTCTGAGGCCTGCGGTATTAGTTGTAGTCACTGCGTTATTTTTTTGTTTTGTTAGTTTGTTTCCCTTCTAAAAGCAAGTGATGTTTGGATTAAAATTCGAAATTAGAGACAGGGAAAAGGCTCACTCATAATCCCACCACTCACAGATGACTGTTGTTGACATACTGGTGTATATCCTTCCAGACGTTTTTCTGTACGTAGTTAACTGCCCCCCCCCCATAATTTATTTTATAAAATTGGAATCACACTGTAACTGCATTTTTCTCATAGTCTTTTATGAATGGCACCCATGTCTGTAAATGTAGGTCTACCTCATCATTTTTGGCTGGATAGCATTCCATTGCATGGTTGTATTTAACTGTTCATTTATGGATGGACATTTAAGTTGTTTCTAATTTCTCACTGCTTTACTTGTGACAGTTGTGACATTCAAGTTATGTCAGTTCCTCCTTCAAACTGTCACCCTCAAATTTCTCTTCTGCTCCAGTTCCACGCTCTGCCTACACCCTAGCCCAAACCTCATCACAACCTGCCTAACCGATTGTTCCAGGCATCTAACTGACCTCCTAACTCTTAACTGACACCACTCTCCGAGCTTTTCATTTAGCACAGAGATGCCAGAATAATTTTCCTAAATACTGATATAATCTGCTCACCCCCCACCCCCCACTCTCCCACCCCCACTTAAATACCTTCAATGACAATCTCACACCAGGTGATTCTGCTCGTGACAGCTTCAGAATATTACATGGCTCATGGGGAGCGGGGACAGGGGGAGAGGGGCGGGAGATGGCTCAAGGAAGGCTGTGAGGGATTAGGTGAGGATAAAGGCCTCGCTTTGAAGCCTCACTTGCATTGCAAGCACCTGTGGTGTGTTCATTGTGGAAGCTTGTGGGTGCTAACAGGCATTGTAGGGTTAGCCCCTCCTCACTCCGTGCCCCCTTCTGGGTGGCCCCTCTACTTTCTAGCATTCATGCCTTCCTTGAGGCCTTTTCATCTTTTCTCTGATACCTATAACTTAGCTGTTCATCCATTTATTCCTTTCATTAATTTGTTATCCTTTCCATGAATATTACTGATTATCTGCTAGATGTGAGCACTTTTGTAGACTCTGAACATACAACAGAAACTAAAACAAAGACCCTGTGCTCAGGGCCTTGATTCTAGCTGGGTAAGACTGGCAATAAATGGCTAACTAAGGAAATGTATATATATATATATATATATATATATATTGTATTGGAAGAAAATAAGTGCTAGAGAAAAAAATAAACCTGGAAAGAGAGGCAGAGAATGTCATAGAGTACTATGGATTGAGTGGGGGAGAGGTCAGTGCTACCTAGAAAAAGCTTCTTTGTCAAGGTAATATTGGAGCATGTGGTGGCAAAAAAATCTCGTATTGGGAAGAAAAACGCTGCAGGCAGAGAAAAGAGCAGGAGCTTGGCAAGTGTGAGGAACAGCAAGGAGGCCCCCGTAGCGCCAGCAGAGTAAACGATGGGAGAGCAAGAGGAGGTCAGAGCAGTATGGTCAGGGAAACAGGGCGGGAGGAGGTGGCGTAGGGCCTTACAGGCTTTTGTAAAGATGTTGGCTTTTCCTTGGAGCGAAACAAGAAGCCACTGGAGGGTTTTAAGCAGAAGAGTGACATGATCTGACTTAAAAATTTTTAAAGATCAGTCAGAGCAGGGGTCAGCAGACTACAGCCCTAGGGTCAGTTATCTGTTTTGGTAAATAAAGTTTTGTTGAAACACAGTCCCGCCTATTTGTTTTGGGATTGCCCATGACTCCTTTTGCTGCAAGAGTTGAGCAGCTGTGACAGAGACAATATAGCCCACAAATCCAAAGTATTTACTATCTGGCTTTTTACAGAAAAAGTTTGCAGACCCCTGACTCAGGAGAATGCACTTTAATGGGTCTGGGCAGATGCAAGGAGTTCAAGTAGATTTATTGTAATAATCCAGGTGTGAGTTGGGGAGGCTTAAACCAAGATGATAGCAGTGATTGTTACGAGAAATGGTCGTATTCTGCATATATTCAAAGTAGAGACAAAAGAATTTGACATTGAGCACCTACGATGTGCAAAGCACTATCCTAGTTTCTATAGGGCAATAGTTGCCCACTTTTGGATTTCGCAGAAGTTAAAAAAAAATTTTAATAAATAAGAGAAATTGGAGGAGACTCAAATATATTTTCCAAATTTTATTTTACTATACAAGGATGTTGGAGAATACTACCTGCCGTCTGCTATCACCATCCTTTCCTAAAAGAAGGGATATTTTAACAACAAGAAAAGTAAGAAAGACATAATCTAAGATTAAAGAAATGCACTAAGAGTAAAGATTACATGTTACAGAAAATTTGCTACATGATCCTTGTGGATCATGGACATTTTGGGGGGAAAGACTGCTGTAGGTATACTAAGATAAATAACAATAAAACATGTCCTAAAAAAATTAAAAATTGTATTTATTGTAAAGGCCAGGCCCAGTAAAGAATATAGGACATGTGCAAAATTAGATAAAACTCAGAGTAAAAAGTGGTAAGTACCATAAAAGGGAAGTTCAACAGCGAGTTTGCTCCCAGCAGAGAGAGCCCAGATGGTTTCCCAGAGCCTACAGAGATGCTGAGGATTTGGAAATATGGGGATGAAGAGTTCCAGAATCAGAAGAATCGTAGAGGAGGGAAGGTGGCTGGAAGGGAAATCATGGAGGGTGGAAGGTAAATCACTTGGCCAGAGCTTTTCTCCTTCCTTTTAAAAAGGACAAGAATGATTTTCTTTAAGTGGTTCTAGAGGCTCTTTTCATGACCTCAGTTCTTACTTTAATTGAACAGTTAATATAGCCAATGAGAAGATTAAGGAATGAGCCATAGGTAGATTCCTTTCTACTCTATGCCTTAAAACACCACATTCTCTGATATTAAGGAGAGATTTTCGTTTTCCTAAGTACCAGGAAAATTAAGTTTTCAGCCAAGGTGATTAGAAACTGTCATGCTATAACCTAGGGAATTTTATGCAAGCAGGCCTTGGGAAAACACCACCCTTATCCTAAAAGGTTTTGTCTCTCAGAAGCAGCGGGCTACTGTAAGTGCTCCCTGGGCTTTGGCCTCTGTTGGATTAATTAGCTAGGTGACCTGAGACAAGTTTCTTAACCTCAGCCCTCCCCAGTACCCTCACCCTGAGGCTGATAATGACCACTTTACAGGTTTCTGTGAAGATTCCTGGTTGTGAGCATGCCTGGTACACAGTAGGGAGTTAATAAAGGGTAATCATATCATCCCTGGCATGAGCGTTTGTAGCATTTGTCGTTGCAATTTGTTCGAAAGGGGCTCAAGGATTATTGGGAGAGACCCAACCGAAGGGTGAGATTTTCTGGGATTCGTTATCGAAAAAGAGGGAGAAGGTCCCTTTGCAAGGTTAGGACTCCCCGTCTTTTATCGTCCTGCGTGTTTTTCTCACGCTTGCAGTGGAACCTGAAGTGAAGTACGTGGGGAACATGCACGGCAACGAGGTGCTGGGCCGCGAGCTGCTGCTGCAGCTGTCGGAGTTCCTGTGCGAGGAGTTCCGCAGCGGGAACCAGCGCATCGCGCAGCTGGTCCAGAGCGCGCGCATCCACATCATGCCGTCCATGAACCCCGACGGCTACGAGGTGGCGGCCGCCCAGGTACTGGCCCTGCAGACATGCAGCCTCTTAAGGAATAAAGGAAAAGCCGGCAGACGATATGTCCTCTCTGCTCCACCGTCAGTGCCACTGTGTAACAACAGAGGTGTAATAAAGTGTGAAGGCTGGGTTCGGGCCTGTAAAAGCTTCGGTTCCCTCAGCACCTTTCCAGCGGACCTCCTGGTTTTATTGGGAAGGCCAATGAGGCAATATTTATGACACTTTGGAAACTGGAAAGTACTATACAGGCTTGAAGGGATATTGCAAAATAGACCCTTTCCCAAACTTTTAACTTGGAACCCTAAGTGTCTGCTTCCTCCCGTAAACACTTACATTTGCATGGGGGCGGGGGGAGGTATCAGAGAGATCAAGCTTTCCCCAGAACTGTGGAGTGAGGAGTTAATTCTAGAGTCTTCATACTTTATTTTATTTCTGTAGGTTTTTTCCTCTACTATAGTACTCAGCTTTTTAATTCTTTATTTTAGAGTTGCACTTGCAGGGGATAGAGAAGAAAAAAATGTTTATGGGCTTTTACTTTATTGACATAAATTCAAAATGTTAGCGTGCCAAACTTTAAAGCAGTGATTCTTGCCCGGCCGGTGTGGCTCAACGGTTGAGCATTGACCTGGGATCCAGGTGATTTCGGTTTGATTCCCAGTCAGGGCACATGCCCGGGTTGCGGGCTCGATCCCTAGTAGGGGGCTTGTGGGAGGCAGCCAATCAACAACTCTCTCATCATTGATGTTTCTATCTCTCTCTCTCTCTTCCTTCCTCTCTCTGAAATCAATAAAGACATTAAAAAAAAAAAAAAAAGCAGTGATTCTTCTGTGGCTGTGCATTAGTCATAGGTGAATATTTTGAAATACAGATTCCCAGATTCTCTCCACCCCCCTTCCTGCAACTGAATCAGAATATTCAAGGGTGGAGCCAGGCACCTGCCTTACACAATGAATGTGTTCCTTTGAAAGCTATATTTGAACCTGCAACCCAGGTACATGCCTTTGACAGGGAATCGAACCCGAGACCCTTCAGTGTGCAGGCCGTCGCTCTAACCGCTGAGCCACACTGGCCAGGGCTGAAACACCCTATTCTTGGTAGAGCTTCTCCTGGGATCTATTCCTCCAGCACATGGTCTACAAGGAAATTTGAACCATGCCACTGGGACTTTGGATAAGTTAAAGGGAAAATGCTATATCATTTGATGATAGATTAAGCTAAGACCTAAAAAGAACTACACAATGTTCTTCAAATGTAGGATTCAGTCTGAAACCTTCATTTCTCATCTCTCCATTTCCCCACTAGGGCCCAGATATTTCTGCATATCTGGTTGGCAGGCACAATGCAAATGGAGTGGACCTGAACCGCAACTTCCCCGACCTCAATACTTACATCTACTACAACGAGAAGCATGGAGGCCCCAACCACCACTTGCCCCTTCCAGACAACTGGAAAAGCCAGGTATGAGAAGAAATTTGCATACAGAAGCAGGTAAATCAACATCTGGAATTTCTTCTGGAAATTTTCACATCAACTAAGCAAGCAAGAATTAGACAGCAAGTCACTCCATGTTAATGTGTCCAGAGCATAACAACTGTGTGTTATGCCTTTTTGTATTCATCCCCTCCCCCAGTGTAGGGACCTCCGTGGAGCACCTGCTCACAAAACGTTTGATGTCCGTGGCCATGGTAGTGAGGGAAGTGAAAGTGGCATCGTACGGTTGCATAGTATTTTATAAAATTCTTCCTTAGCCAGTATTTCAGTTGATCTTCATAACACTGTGTGGCAAATGCATCAATCAGTGTCACCCATCTCTGTTTTATAGATATTACACTTATAGAAAAAAAATAATTTAAATTCACACAGCTATAATTGATGGAATCAGGGTTAAAATCCAGGTCTTCCAACTCCTAATCCAACATTCTTTCTACTGCACTGTACTGTTGACACAGAACTTTAGCATTCTTTAGAGATCTCTCTTACGTGTGAACTGTGCGCTCATTAACAATTAGCTATAGAAAGGAGTTGGGAGAGTCCCTTATGTATAGCTTTTTCTCTCCCCTTTCTATATGAGCCTTGACTACTTTACCGTACTTGTTTCCCTTACTCTCCCGTCAGAGGATCCCATCCGATGCTCTCAAGCCTTTCTTCCCAGGAGGCCTGTAATGTCACCCCTGGTCATGTGAATGGTTTCATCCTGCTGGTGGGCCTGCCCCCAAGAATAACTACTGTCATCTCAGAGCATCGCTACCACCCTGTTTTTCACACTGTATGAGATAGTTCTAAACGTTCTGTTTGTGAGTATCTAAACTTAGAGACTGGGAGAGAAACATAAAACAGGTGTAAGGCTTTCTATTGGGAGTTTTCTAGATGAAGTAGTCTTGGTTGGAAATGAAGCAAAAGTCATTTGATTTCAGATAGCAGCGATGCTCTTGGCTCAGGTAAATAATAAATAAAAAATAACTTTGTACTAGTCAGCATATCCGGCCAGAAGGATGTTCTGATTTATTGACTTGTTGAATTAAAATAAGGTCACTGAGCCAATACCAGTTACTTGCTCCTCTGTCTGAATCTTAGAAGATGAAAAAGAGAATGAGAAGTCCTCGGCACACCTGATGGGGCGGCCTTGAGGGAGAGGAACAGTGAGAAGCTGGCTTTGCTCAGATGGATAGAGGCTTAGGACACTGAGAAAGGACTGCTTCAAAGGGGCCGAGTCCTGGTCACAGAGCAGGACTGGTGCCTTTGGTACTATATCCATTCTGATGGGGTGAAACTCACCCTGATTCATCCACTCCCCCTCGGGGTAGAAAAGAGGGGGCCTTTGAAGCTGACCCTTAGTCCAGGAGGCGCCATTGACGCATTAACACCGCATAACCTCTAAGCACATCCACCCTGAGGGGAGGAAAGACAACGAAGACCTTAAATTATTTCCTTATACTGCAAGTCCAGCAGGTTCATGGCTTTCCTCGGAATACCATCACTCACCGGCACTGTAATATGCAATCGATAGGGTGGCATGTCACTAATCAGCCAAGACTGGCCCATGTTACACTATTTCTAACCCATGACATTTGGGTATGCGCGCAGGAGCGCTCCACGGGGCAACACTGGATGTAGTGGTTGTGCTGGGGAAAGGAGGAAGCTGCAGAGCGCTACAGGAAACCAGCGTTTTCCACATTGATTTCCAGAGCTCTCAGTTTCTGCAGAGGTGCCTCAGGAGCCACTGAAGCAGGGGGAAAATTAGAGAAGCCTTTTCTAGGGCCAGAGAGAGGCTGAGCTTGGGCTCCTCTCTCTCTCTCCCCCCCCTCCCCCCAGAGGCTTTATTTTTTAGAGCAGGTTTTTCACAGCACAGTTGAGCAGAAAGTACAGAGAGTCCCCACACGCCCTCCGCTCCCCCGCAGCAGCAGCCCACGCCAGGGCGGTCCGTCTGCCACAGGTGACGAACCTGCCTTCCCCCACGCTTGTTGCACGACGGCCAGAGCCCACGTCAGCACTCACTCTTCGCGCGGCGCAGTCTGTGGGTCTGGACGAATGTATCACGACGTGTATAATCTGCAGCGGTTTCCCCGCCCTAACCGCTCTCTTTTTATCTATTCTGTATATTAGGATTTCACTCCATTTAATTTTTCCAACCATCACGCCAAAGATCAAAGTTCCACCATCTGCGCCTCTCATGCCCGGCCAGACCTGTCCCATTCCGAGTGCTGCGGCCTCAGGCCTCTTCCTGTCGCTTACTCAAAAGGCTCCCGTCTCCCTCAGGTGGAACCCGAGACCCGGGCCGTGATCCAGTGGATCCGCTCCTTCAACTTCGTCCTGTCGGCCAATCTCCACGGAGGAGCGGTGGTGGCCAACTACCCGTATGACAAGTCCCTGGAGCACAGGGTGCGAGGCTTCCGCCGCACTGCCAACACGCCCACGCCCGATGACAAGCTTTTTCAGAAGGTGCGCAGGACGGTGGCCTGTCCCGCCGGGGACTCGGGGCTCAGGAGAGGGACCCAGGTCAGGTCAGCCACACGGGAGCCTGCTGGTACAAGGCCACAGGAAATAACTGACAGCACCGCTTGCTCGCTGGGAGCTGACAGTCTAGGGAACTGCGTTTTGTTTGGAGAGATAAGATAAAATTTTATGAAAACATAAACATATAAGAAAGCTTTGTAGTATACTAACTCAAGTTTAGAAAAATACTTAAGCTAATGACGAACAAGAAATATGCCAAAAGACTAATAGTGCTGGTGGTAAGCAAGTAGCATTACATGTGAATTTTGGGGGTTCTAATTTGGAATTTTATGATAGTAAGGCTATATTAATAAAAAATAGACCGTGCACATAAAAAAGGTTTACATGATAGTTCAAAACATCAATAGAAGAAAATTAATAGATTAATTATTTTATAGTTAATATATTATTAATTAATTGCATTCATTCATAAATTAATGAATTGCATAGAGAATAATACCAGTTGTTGCTTTGCCAAGCAAGTATATCTCATTTTTTTCACTGTTATAAAATAGGAATGAAAGAGAATTAATAGAGATTCTGAATCCAACACACAACTCGTCCCCAAAACACAGTCCTTTTCCTGGCTAAGCCTATCTTACTTGCTTCTTTTTTAAACAAAACTTAGCCAGAAAATAGTGCACCCAGAAAAGGAGGAAGTAGAAATCGCCGGTTAGAAAAACAGTCACGGGATGTCAAGTACAGCAGAGGGAATATAGTCAGTAAGGTTGTAATAACTGTGTACGGTGTCAGATGGGCACTTGGCTCACCAGGGTGATCACTTCCTAAGGTATAGAAATGTCTAATCATTCTGTTGTACATCTGACATATAATACTGCCTGTCAACTGTAACTGAAAATTAATTTAAAAAAATAAAAATAAGTATATTTATAAAAAAGAAATGGTACACCTAGTAGGGAGTTTATATGTCATCTAATGCCACCCCTCACTTTGCACTTGGAGAAATTTAGTCCCAAGATAGTGGAAAAAATCAGAATACAGGTTTCTTAACTCTAGTCCACTACACACACACACACACACACACATCCCATCTCTACCTCTGCTGATATTTTCTTTCATTAAAGCAAATAACCAGTTGTTTATACCTAGTGGGGTTTCTTGGCTTTACCCTCCTTCTGAGTGCGAGCATTGCCATATGAGCTGGGAACACTCAAGGTCACTTCTGCCCACTTTTCCTACAGCTGGCCAAGGTCTACTCCTACGCACATGGGTGGATGCACCATGGTTGGAACTGTGGGGATTACTTCCCAGACGGCATCACCAATGGGGCTTCCTGGTATTCTCTCAGCAAGGGTAAGGGGACGCTGGTGACAGCCGTGCTGTGAGCTGGAGCAGGGTCGGGCTCATCTCTCCTTCCGAATCGCCTTTTTCTCTCTGAGAGAAATGACAGGAATGTTATAGAATTTTATATTCAAGTAGAGATCTGGAAATAGCAGAGTCTTAAGTTAGAATTTAATGGCATTTTGTGGTTTATTAAAATGAAGTTAAGGATACCTTGTGGCCTTTTAAAAACTGGCGGTTTATACGGGATATTGGAGCATAGGAGGGAAATAAAGTAGTCAAGTGGTTAAGTGTGGACTTCAAGGGTACACTGACCTTGAAGGGTAGCTTGCCCATTTACCAGTTATATGGCTTCAGGCTAATTACTTAACCTCTCTGAGCTTTGGCATGTACATTAAGGGTAACAATACTTGCCCCATAATTTTGATGTAAGTATTAGATAAAAATAATGCACATAAAGCATTTGGAAATGCCTGGCTTATAAATATTAGGCTTTTTCTAACTAGCATAGAGTTGTGCCTCACATAGCAACAGGTGAGCAGAGGAGCTGGCCTGGACCCAAATAGTTCTCCTGGCATATGCTCTGTACCCTGCCTGCCCATCTCCCACGATCAGGAGTTTCCTGGACATTGGCCGTTGATAATGTAGCAGAAATCTCCAAGAGCCTTCTCTCTCCACTCCCTGGGTCTTCCCCATCACTGACGGTTGAGACAGAATCTCTGTTTGTGAACCTTCAGTGGATAGGGAACCTAAGGATAAAGAAGAGGCTGAAGCAAGAAGCTGGATCTTTCAGGAATCATGTTTTAGCAGTTGCCTTTCCCTAGCCTCTCAGATCTGACCTGCCAGAGCAGAAAGCTCACTAGTGAGGCCTGAGCGGATAGTGGTTCTGTAGAGAGTGGGGAGGGGGAGGTTAGGGAGTCACCACATACTGGGAAAGTGGCTGAAAACTCACTTGAACACAAGCAAGAAGATTCTGTTGAACTTTCTTCAGTTTGCTTTAGGAAAGCAATAGGTTTCCCCCCACCATCAAAATAAAATATGAAATATACTTTTTCGTATTATACTTGTTTCTCCCTTCCCATCCTCTGGGAAACCATGGCTCATGCTCCACTGAGAATCATTACTCCAAATTAAGCTGGTACAATTTCAAGTTCACTAAAACAATTGTTCCAACAGTGTGGTCTCTGGACCAGCATCATCAGCATCACTTGGTACTTGTTAGAAATGCAAATTTGGGGGCCCCACCCCATACCTACTGAATCAAAAACTCTGGGGCTAAGGCCCAGCAGTCTGTATTTGGCTGGAAGGTGCTGCCTTCTAGATGATTCTGATGCTGAGAGAGAAGTGATGGCACAACTTTCTATAACAGCTCTTGCACACGTTAGCTCAGAGAGCAGGCAAAAGTTGATTAAATGGATACTTTTTTCAAGTTAGTATCATTTTATTAGGGAGAATAAATATACACTGAAAACAATTAACAGCAAATAAAGTACAAGGTAATGTACTTTACTAGGAATGTACTTTTCAAATACTAGGAATATGTGGCGAGTCACTAAATAACCAGTTTCTGTATAAGCTTCCATCAGTTGCCAGAATTTTAACACTAAAAGATTTAACACGAATGTCTGGATTTCCATCTTAACTTGACAAATCAGATGTAGGAGTTTCCCTGTCCCCTAGCAACAGGGGACCTGCCTTCCTGCAGGGTATAAATGGATAATTTTTAACTCAAATTTATGATAAAAACACCACTCTAGTAATCAGAAAGGTATTTTAAAATAATTCAATTGAATAATATAGAAGAGAGAAGCAAGTCAGCTTTGATGGAGGAAAAACATAGCTGCCTTCTGCTTTTACAGGGTTCTGTTTTCCTGGGATAACTATTTTTCAGGTTAGTGCTGTGGTCTTGGTTAGGAGGGATGTGAAAGCAAGATATTTGTCTCATCTCTAACCTCCCGGGTCTGAAGGACATCATAGTCCAAAGAGGAAATCTGTCCCCCAGAAAGCAGTGCACGTGCATAGTCTAGTGTTAAAGCACAACCGAGAAGCAGACTTTGGACATGCTAAGGGGGACAAGAAGTGAATTTAAGTCATTAAATGGAAAAAAAAGTTGAGGGTAGAGATGACAAAATGGGCGTTTATGAAGAGAGAAAGCGGAAACAATAGAAAGGCATGTGAACTGGGAAACTAGGGAATGGTTTTATGGAGGAGAAATTAGTGGAGGTCAAGAGGTGGAACAGAAGGTCATGAGGTGTGCGCGGAGAAATTGTGATTAAAGAGAGTTGAAATGGGGCATTGGGTGGAAACTTGGTTGTTCAGATCTGCCACCGCTCTCTGTCCCCTAGGAATGCAAGACTTTAATTACCTCCATACCAACTGTTTTGAGATCACCTTGGAACTGAGCTGCAACAAATTTCCCCCTGAAGAAGATTTACAGCGCGAGTGGCTGGGTAATCGGGAAGCCCTAATCCAATTCTTGGAGCAGGTAAAATTGAATTCTTTCACTTTCACCGTCACGGAAAGAGGTTTCCAATAGTAGGCAAGGTTTTCTGCGTGGCTCAGGCCTGACTTCTGCTCTGACTAGTCCATCGATCTGGGCTGCTTCTACCAGTGACAATTATTCATTCAACGTTATTGAGCGTAACTATCCACCAGAAAGTGTACTATATCCTGGGGATTATGAATATAAACAAATATCCCTGTCCATATGGAGTTTATATTCTAGTGAGAAGAGATAGACAATAAACGAAGTAAGAAAATAAATTTTATAGCATGTGAAATGCTATGAAGAAGGCCTTAGAGAGGAGGTGACATTTCAACAGACTTAAAGGAAGTAAGGGAGAGAACTATGCAGCTGTGTAGAGAAAAAGGGCTTCCTCAGTGAGGACACAAAGGTAATGCAAAGCCAACAGCAAGCACACGAACAATGTTCAGCATCACCAGTCATTAGGGAGATACAAATCCAAACCACAGTGCAATACCACCTCACAGCCCTTAGGATGGCTGCTACTAAAAAGCCAACAAGCGGCGACAGAAAGTAGCAAATGTTGGCAAGGATGCGGAGAGAGCGGAACCCTTATACACTGTTGGTAAGGATGTGAAACGGTGCAGCCGCTATGAAAAACAGTACTACAGTTTCTCAAAAAATTAAAAATAGAACTACCATATGAGCCAACAATCTGCTTCTGGGTATATACCCCCAAAAACTGAAAGCAGGATCGCAGAGATATTTGTTTATAGCAGCAGCATTCGTGAGAGCCAAAAGGTGGAAATAATCCAAGTGTCCAATGAGAAATGGATGGATAAACAAAATATGGTACATACATAAGATGGAATATTATCCTGCCTTAAAAAGAAGGAAATTCTGCCACATGCTGCAATATCAATAAACCCTGTGGACATTATGCCAAGTGAAATAAGTCAATCGCAAAAAGACAAATATTCTATCATTTCACTTATACTACAAGTCAAGAGTAGTCAAATTCATAGACAGAAAGTAGAATGGTAGTTGCCTGGGTCTGTGGAGAGAAGGAGATGGGACTTGTTTAATGGGTGTGGAGTTCAGTTTTGCAGGATGACAGGTTCTGGAGATTGGGTGCACAACAATATGAATGTTCTTAACACTACTGAGCTGTACACTTAGAAATGGTTAAAATAGTAAATTGTATGTTATGTGTATTTTATCACAATTTAAAAAATAATTAAAAAATACAAAACCAGAACACTAGTGTGGCTGGAATAATCACAAGAGTATCGGAGAGGGTGGCAGGAGGTGAGATCAGTCAGCTAGCTGAGACTATGGCTTTATAGACCATCATGAGAACTTTAGCTCTCGCTCTGAGTTTGGTTTTGAGTAGACCTATGACATGATTTAACTTAGATTTTAACGGGATCATTCCAAGTGCTCTATTAAGAAGAAATTATTGGGGAGGAGAGGAGGGGATGGAAAGACCAGTTAAGGGGTTATTAGGATAATCTTTATGAAGATCAAATATGAAAGCACATGAGACAGGGCTGTGGGGACTCTAAAACACTGCAGTGTTTTATGATCATGGTTATACCATAAGTTTTTCCCCACAGGTGCACCAAGGCATCAAGGGAATGGTGCTTGATGAGAATAATAATTACCTCCCTAAGGCTGTTATTTCTGTCAGTGGGATTAATCATGATGTCACTTCAGGTAGGTGGCCACTACTTAGTGGGGTGAGAAGAAGCGTCCACTCCGAGCTGTTCTTCTTCAGCATAGTCAGGAGGTCAAATTGTAAACCAGTGAGACTAGCAGGGACATCAGGGCCATTGGGGGTGGGGGACTGGAGGAAGGAAGGGTAAAAGAAATGGGAACAGTGAATGAAGAGGCAAGAACCAGGAAGATGTAACTGTAACATCTCTCTCAGCATTCAGGAGTCAGTTCCTCATATCACTTTGTTAGGGGTGTTTTCTAGGTTTGAAGTTATTAATAGCTCACTTACGGTATGAAATGGGGTAGAAAAGGAAAGGACTATAAGAGGAATGCTTAGTCTTGTCCCCGACCCAGGAGTCTCACTACACCTCCAGGCAGGACAATGTTAGCAAGATGCATTTCTATAAACTTGTTGCAGGACAAGATTGATAGAACCTCCTAGAATGGTACAGAATATCTCATGGCACAATGGAGTTGCAAACTGCCCCACCTCAATGTGATCATGCACAACTTGTAGGCTTTTTTATTGTTTTCTTTTTAAAGTAAAGCAATAGCTGCTATAGTTAGGGGCAGGTGAGATCTGCCTGCCTCCCACAACCTCGATACCACATTCTACCACACCAAGTAGGCATTTTACAGTTCAGACAGTGTGTTTAAACTGGATGAAATCTCAACTTTAAGGAGATAACTCATGTTCTTGAAGATGACCCCAACACATCTTACATGAAAGGCTCATTCAAGGCAGAGGCAGTGATATTCTAAAGGCAGAATTCTGTAGCCTCATAGTCAAGCATCAGACGACTGGCTGGACCCAGGACTGTTTAGGGATCAAACCACAGCATCCCTAAGAGCTTCAGGGCTTGCTAGATTCTTATACCTTATTCAGGCAAGGGTGTTGAATGATTCTGAAACATTCTAGCCAATCAACATATATTGAATACCACTAATTTCACTAATAAGGGCCCACTTCCAATACCATTATGCTAAATTAATAAGTTACTTATTTTACCACTGAAAAAACTCATTGCTAACATTCATTGTATTACTTAGCAAAGCATCTAGTGTTGATTAGACATAAAGATAGCTGAAGCCCTCATAATAGCTGCATCTGGAATTGGGCCTTTCTGATACAATGCTAGCTTCCACTCCTGGATATGAGCCCCCACTTAAGAAAATGACAGCCCTGGGGTATGACTTAAACTGTCCAACATATGTATAATAAGACACTGCTTTTGCAAAAGTATTTTAAAGTAAATTAGACATTTAATAGGGTGCAAAAAAGAGACTTTCTCATTATTTAGTGTCTGTCTCATTCTTAATTGCATTTATTATTTCAATTAGGCATTGCTGTACACTTAAAAGAAATGTAAAGGCATGGTGACAACTGATTCAAAAGACATGTAAAGTCGTTAGCCAAAATGTTATATCCCTGCCATTCAAAAGAGAAACAGGCCTTCTTTTGAATTTTATTTTCCCCTTTTGAAGGTGATAGAATACTAAAAATAGGATTCTCAAAATCACAGCTTTAGTGGTCATTGAGTGGTCCAGCCCTCCCACTCAGTGGAAGATTTCACGCATACAATACCATACCACTGAGACAGCTGGTTGTCCAACCCAGGGCCACCACGCCCGCTTGTGCAGGTTGTGCACTGCATAGCTGTGTCGCTTTTCCAGGGCCCCTCATTCAGTCTCTGCCTAAGTCCTCACAGTTTCATGAAGCAGCCCATTTCTTTTTTGGAAGTTCTGTGTGTCACAATAGTTTTTGCTTCTGTTGAGCAAAATTTTCCTCCCGCAACTTAACCCCAAAGTTCTCATGCTTATTTCTTTAGGTACACATTTCTTCACGGTGCCTTTTCGAGCATTGTATTCTCTTTACCAGGCAAAAACATTTATAGATATCCAACCGTCCTCCTAGTGACTCTTTATTGGACATGAGTTTTTAAAAATACAGCGTCTAGAGTTAAACACAGTATTCTGAGTGCAGAGTACTGTGGAATTCCTACTCCCCAGGAGCTGAGGCCCAGACTCCTATTCTGTAAAATAGCCTATGACTGTTTAGATCTTAACCAGTTTCATCACTCTATTAAGTTTGCGGCCAGCTAAAACCCTCAGATTGTTTTTCATATAAAAGCTGAATTTGGGGCAGTTTCTAATCAGCAGACTGAGTTCTATCCTTGTAATTTTTAGGTGATCACGGTGATTACTTCCGGCTGCTGCTTCCAGGCACCTACGTGGTCACTGCCACAGCACCTGGGTTCGACCCAAAGACAGTGACTGTGACCGTGGGTCCTGGGGAACCAAAACGGGTGAGTTGGGCTGACCTTTACAAAGCCTGTAAAGATCACTTAAATGAAGTCACAAACAACCAATGGCACAGTTCTACTCTTTGCCAATCTTTCCTCTGTCACCATAAAAAAAGTCATTGCTCTCATATGCTAATTTTTCTTCTGTCACTTTCCTATGATGTCATTTCCCCATTTCCTTTTGACGTTTTCTTTTCTTCTGTTTAACGTAGCATAGTGATTAAGGGCACTGTCTGCTTCTAAATCCAGGTCATTTGTCTACAGATGGTGGACAGATTACCCAATTACTCTCATCCTCAGCTTCTTCATCTGTGAACTGGTGATAATAGTATTTCCCTCACAAGAGATTGAAATGAGAACATGCGCAGAAAGCAGGCAGTAGAGTGATTGAAGTGCCCAGCAAATGTTAGTTTGTAACATCCCAGGGACCTTGCCCCAGGCACCTGGGCTCCCACGGGTTGCATTCTTCTGTGCCATGAGCAAGGCCTCCCACCAGGTGGCACTCTACCCCCTTCTGGTGCCCGGTGTGCCCAGACGCCCTTGCTTTCCTCTGACCTCAGTCGAGAACCAGCTGCTCTCTGTCATTCAGCTCCCCGCGGCATTCTTTATATGAGAAGCAAACAACTTTTTTCATCTACAGCCTAAACCTTTTGAGCTTTGGTCATACTAGATTAGGATCTTAGAGCCAAAGAGGCTCAGTGATCTTGGAGTCTAATCCTCAGCTTTCTCAAACGATAGGGAAAAGACAACGAGACAGTCCTATTTAATGAGCATCTACAGACCTGCTTTCCCACCAGTCAGCTCTTCTCTAGGGCCTCCTCGCTCCGCCCAGCTCCTTCTCAGTACAACCCTGGAGCTTAGCAGACCCTCCTTCCCCTTTCCCTGTTAACTCAATACAGTCAAGTCAAGTAGCTTGTCTTTTCAAATATGTGGGATTTTAAAAAAACTGTTTATTGAACACTTACTATGAGAGCTTTCCACAACTATCTCATGTAACCTTTATAACACCCCTGTAAGGTGGATATAAGCATCCCCATTTGTGGCTAAGGAAACTGAAATTTTGAGAAGGTTAGAAACTTGTCCAGTATTACAGTGAGTAAGGGGTGGGAGCCCCGGTTCGAACCTGTCGGGCTTTCAGGGCTCTCGTGTTAGCCAGAGTGTTACAGGGCCTCATGCTCGGCTATTACCCGTGTTTGTAATCCTCCTTTTTTTAACACAAGGATCAGAGAAAAGAGTTTTTAAAATCCTTTGAAAATTCCTCGGAAATGTCTAGAGAGTTTCCCTTTCTCCCCTCCCAGCCCCTCCAGTCCCTGTCCTGCGCATTATAAATGACGTCCATGCAGAGGCAGGAAGCAGAGTAACTCTTCCGCTGCAGCCCGGTCCCTGGTCCCAGTTTCCCAGCCAACATGTTCGTCCCTTTCTCTTGTGATACCTCATGCTCCTCATCTCCCCTGAAACCAAACGACGGGTAGGCAGCTGCATGCATGAGTCTTTCAGTAAAGCAAGTCCGCTCAGGGCCAAGTGCAACCAGCTACCAATCTGCTTGAGCAACATACTCTGCTTCAAAAGATTCCAACTCCTTTGTCATATAGCCTTTAAACAAATTGACATAACCCATTAATATATTGAATATAACTCAGAGGGGGCACAATCTATGTTTTGGATACAATTCTCAGATACTGTAACAGCTAACAAGCCATTTATTGATCACAGTAGAGTCTCTCTTCCTATCCTAAAGCAGAGAGCCACCTGCTGGGGGAAGAGAAAAGAGAAAGACCTTGGACTAGATGGTTTTCGTGTTACCATTAAGACTCTCTCGGGTACCTCCCGAAGTCTGGCGTCCTCCCCTTTGCCTTTCTCCACAGCCCTCTAGATGCCGTGTTCCTTTCGTTTCCCTCTGTCCTTTCCTCATTGTTGCCTCTCTCTGTTTTCTTTTCTAGATCCCTGTGTTACCATATAGGAAATAATAATGACAGTGCCATGGGCTCGGACTTCCCCCGCTTTGGGGAACTAGCAGAAAAGCTGGCTGTGGATTTTTGTGGAAGGGGCAGGAAGTAACTTCACAGAGAGCCCTCTTAGCTGCAAGTTTTTCAACTCCCAGCTGGCTTCAGCGGCTCGAGCTGTTCAGGGGCTTGAAAGCCGAGGGTGCCTCAGGCGAGGGTGGGGAGGACTCTGAGCCGCTCCCTCTGAGGCCCTGTACTTTCTGGGACAGTCCTGCTGCTCCAGCACAGCCAGGACCTCCCAGCTTGCCAGTCAATACCATCGTATATCTGTGTGGCACAGCCAGAAGGAAAGTTTCGACGTATTGCTGGAAATGATGCATTAATGCACTTGGACATTTGGAATTTAAGAATCCACATTCACAATCTATATCATATCTCCTATGTGAATTTCTCAAAAGTTATGGCAGAAAGTTTAGTTCTAAGGATCTGAGGCGAGTGCGTGCCTGAGCACGACACCTGTGATTCACACAGTCAGCAGAAAGGGGTTATTACGACACCATCCATCTTAGTTCTTGTTTTAGGCAACAAAATTGGCAAAATGGTTTAAGGTGTAGATATAATTGTTTTCTACTTCATATAAAATAAATGAATATTACGTTCATCCAGATACAGCTTATGTGTCCTCAGTGATTGTGTAGCACTTTTAGGGGGAATGTTAGCACAGCCTGTATGATGCCACCAATCTGCTCTGGGTCATTGCTATGATAATCCTCCTTAGACCCTGCCCTTGGAACCTGCAACTGTGGTGAAACCCGCTCCAAACAGGTCTTCCCCCGATTTCAGTTCCAGGAAGTCGAAAACTAACTCTTTTACTCTCCTCGCTTCCTCTCTTTTCTTCCAGGTTGACTTCCAACTCAGGAGAAGTATCCCTCCAGTCACCAAGTTCCCAGCGCAGCACTTGGAGACAGAGTCCTACCAAAGCCCCGGGTAGCCAGGCAGAGAGATACAGAGACGCAGCGGCAGAGCCCCGGCCTGAAATCTACCGCAATTCAGTGGCCCAGGGAGTGCTTCAGAAAGGCTTTGGGCCTGCTCTCCGATCAGATGGAACATTCTTTCTATTTTATTATTGGGACATATTTAAATATAAACATCTTCGGAACAATTCAGAATGGTCTCTATCTATTCCAGGTGTAAGCCTTCTCATAGATCATAGACTCAGCGGTGTTCAGTAAGATCTTCCGATTGTGGGGAATGGTTTAGGTCCTGAAGGCTCCATGCCAGTCCATACTGCATCCAGAGACTGGTTCTGGCTGGCTGGCCACTCTGTCACCAGAGTCTGCAACGTCATAGGTGCTCAAGGAAGATTTCTGAACGAACAGCTGAAATGCTGAGATGATTCATCGTTGATGTTGTTTCCATAGCAAGACCAGGAGAGCAAATCTGAAATCCCAGAGGACCCTTTCAGCAATAGCCAGTAGTTTCTTGATAAGAAAAGGATTTTGCACACACATACTTAGTCCCACTGCTACCCATTTTTGTACTTGGGCATGTTAAACAATGTACATCTTTTAACACATTTTCTGGGTATGTAAGTAACGCAGGTGCTCCTGTGGAATGGCTCTACCCTGCTCCCTGTCAGCGATACACAGCACTTTTGCTCATTTCCCAAAATGGACTAATTTGTTCTAAAGGTATTACTGAGCCCAGGAGATGTTACAAAAGATTGTGTAAGGATGTGTAGTCTTTCCTCACACACCACACAGCACACAAGTTCAGGGCATGGTGGGGTTCCAAGCCCCCTGTCCCCAGAGCTTGGTAGGTTTTCTGTGGATTTTTTTTTTCATGCACCCTGTTTCAGGGCTCAGCCTCAGTTAGATAAGGCAGGCTCCAGTTTCCCCCACTTGCTCCATCTTCCCCCACCCTCTCAGCCTCCCTACTCCCACAGTTTGAAATGTTATTTATTGTAAAACAGTAAGATCCAAATACAACAGTGTCAGATTTTTATCTGTTAAAGACCCAGGACATGAATTCACAACAACAGCTTATGGACTGATTCACTCGTTTGACAAATAGTTGAGTCCCATTTCTGAATCAAATGCTGTGTTAAGAGCTGGGGAGACAGTGGTAAACCAGAGAGATGCACTCTCCACCCCTTTGGAGGGAGAGACAAAGGCTGAAACAAATTAATCAACAAATACATAAAAAGAGTTAGTATCTGAGAAGCGGTGCTGAGAGAGGAAATGCCAGGGGATCTCTTTGAGATAGGCTGGTTAAGGAAGACTCCCCTGGAGAGGTGATATTCTGGCTGAGATGTAAAGGGTAAGAAGAAAGAATGCTGGCCAAGAGTAGGAATAAAAGTTCCAGGCAGAAGGAATGGCAAGCTTAGATACCCTGTGGTGGGGAATAGCCTGGCTACTTACAGCAGCTGCGTCTCTCGGGTCTAAAAGCATGTGCACGCACGTGTGTTTGTGTGTGTGTGTGTGTGTGTGTATGTGCGCTTAGCTTTCTGTTCTATGATCCCACATGCTAGAAGCCTAACCCAGCATAGGTCCAAGAAACAGAATAACATCCCAACCACATTGAGTCTAGTTATAAGCGAGCCAATGAGATTCACTTTTTCCATGGCCACAGAAAACACCCCTAACTGGACCAGCCATTTCAAAAACAAGGATTGAGAAAGTGGGACAGCGTGGCTTGGGACAAATCTGCCATCTGAACAGGAGAAGTTGCAGGTCAGGTGTCTGGAGCACCATCTTCACATAGGTGATACTACAATTTGTCTAATACATACCCCCCCTCCCCCAGCACATGCCCTGCACTGACAGCCCATCATGTCCACCTCCTCCCTGGAATATTACTTCATTTCTACTTTAACACTAACTCCTTTCTGGCTTATAAACCATGAGTAAACATTCCCCCTGGGCAAATGCCTAAACAAATATCAATTCTCTCCCTCCTCCCAAAAGTTAGGTTCCACTATTTATGAAGGCCTTTCCCCCAGCACTTTTCTTAATTCCTTCCCTCACCGTTTCATGTTCCTCCCCACGCCCCTTCCCCTCAGGATCTTTCCTTCCTACCTTCATCCACTTCAATTTCCACATGCTCCCTGCACCCCGCACCCTCTCGCCATCAAGACCCTGCTACATGTGGGATGAAGTATCACCTAGAAGCAGCGAGCTGGATTCATTACTGGATAGATGAACAGCAGTGGAGGAGAAGCCCTCGGGCTGGTACTTGATTCTGCGGACACACTGCTTCCTATTGCACAGCCCCGGGGAGGAGGCAAGTAAAGTCATCTGGACTATGTCTGCTCCCCAGAAGGAGGGAGGAAAGGCCTCCTTGATTTCCATTTAGATCATCCCATGTGAGGCCTTTGGAATGAAGAGTTCACCCTGGGCATTAGATCAAAGGAGCTGAGTGAGTTTCCTTAAATCCTTTCTGGAATCAGATGAAGAATAAATAAACTAAGAAATAGAAGGATCTTAATTTTATTATTTTTGTTTGTATAGCCAAATAAAGTATTTTACACACACTGTAGTTTATAGAAGCCTCATTTCAGACTGATAAAAAAAAAATTGTTAATGGAGGGTGCTATGGACTGAATGCTTGTGTACCCCCAAAGTTCATATGCTGAAGCCCTAATATGATGATTTTGGAGGTGGAGCCTTTGGGAGGTAATTAGGTGATTGAAGTGGGGGAGCCCCCATGATGGCATAAATGTCCTTATAAGAGGAAGACAGCTACCACTTTCCTTCTGCCATGTGAGGCTACAACAAAAAGGCCATCTGCAAGCCAGGGAGCAGATCCTCACCAGAACACTACCACGCTGGCATCCTGATCTCAGGCTTCCCAGTTTCCAGAGCTGCGGAAAATAGTGTTTGTTATTTAAGCTGCCTTATGGTGACTTGTTATAGCAGCTGGAGCAGACTGAGACAGAGGGGTGGATATACAGGGTTCACTAACTTTCTATTTTGGACTTTCTAATTTTCTACTAAGAACAATAAGAAAAATACAATTGCTATCTACTATCACCATCAATTCATAAATACTCTATTGTTAAAAAGTAGGAAAGATATAATCTCAAAAAAGTTCTAGTTTTGCTAGGAACAGTAAATATTTCATCTCAGACTGGCATTTGTGAACCAGTAGTTTAAAAATGGCATCTTTAGTGGCTCAAATATGTATAAGAGGGATTTCAGACACAGTTGGATCTAGGTGCCCCAGTTGTGTGGTCTGGAATCTGTCTCCATTTCTGGATTTCATTGTCTTGGGTAGTGACATCAGTCTCACACAGGCTCTTCCCAAGAGCGGACTAGGTGACCAACGGCAGCTTCTACCTTGTTTTCTACCAGCCTAGCAACTATTGATTGTTGGGCCTGACTCAATAGCACAAACTGGTTATGTGCCTGTCCCTAAAACTATCATATTGACTATTATTGGTCAGTCTGGTGTTATATGCCCCCTCCTGGAAGGCAGATGTGGGTATGGGAGACTGAGAGTAGAGGAGAGTTGGTTCTCATTTTTTAAAAAAACAAAACACTGTTACTAAACAAAGGAGAATGAATGGTTATGGGCAAAAACAACAAAAGGGCATTGCAATTTTTAAATTTAAGCACTATTGCAATTTTACTGTGACTCTTAACTCAAGCAAATTCAGTCATTCAACATTAGGCCACCCATGTGCCAGGCCCTTTGCTAGGCAATAGGGATACAAAGGTAAAATTCACTTGTCCCTGAGAGGTAGACAACTTTTTATAATAGTGTGTGAAGCAATTGAGATCAGCCCTGTCCCAGACCAAAGAATCATAATCCACATTACCATTCAGTTCCCTACTTTGCTTGGCTAATGTAGACTTGACTTAGTATGTTAATTCCCCATGCGCATGTATTAAAAATTTGATTTTACCCTGCTGTGTGTGGGTTTTTGTTTTGTTTTTTAAAGCAAAGGAGAAAAACAGTACAGCAATTCCTCAAAAAAATAAAATATAGAATTACCATTTGACCTGGCCATTCCATTTTTGGGTATATACACAAGACAACGGAAAGCAGAGATTCAAACGTATCTGAAACACCCATGTTCATAGCAGCATTATTCATAACAGCCAAAAGGTGGAAGCAGCTATTGTGTGGGCAACATCCATTAACTGATGAATGAATGAAAAACCCATGGTGTGTATATATATATGTATATATATACATATATATATACACACACACATATATACATACATATATATATATAATGGAATATGATTCCAGCTTTAAAAGAATGGACATTCTGACATGCTACAACGTGGATGAACCTTGAGGACATTATGCCAAGTGAAATAAGCCAGGCACAAAAAGACAAATACTGTGTGATTCCACTTCCCTGAGGTCCCTGACAGCAAGTAGAGTAGAATGGTGGCTGCCAGGAACCGGGAGAGAGGAACGGGGACTTAGTGTTTAATGAAGACCGCTTCCGTTTGGGAAGAGGGGAAGCTTCTGGAGATGCATGGTGCTGATGGCTGGGCAATGATGTGAACGTACTTAATGCCACAGAACCATACACTTAACATGTTTAAATGATAAGTTTTATGGTATGTATATTTTATCACAAGTTTTTTAAAGCAAGGGAGAGGAGGAGCGATATCCCAGTGCCATTTTAGAAACAGGCCCCTGTGAGCTTTGCACGCGCAGCGACAGGCTTCTTGCGTTCCTAAGGCTCCCCGTGCAATGTCGGAAACTTAGGGCACACAAATTCCAGCGAGCGTGGCTCTGTGGCCATTTAATGCCCAGGGGAACCCGCCAGTTCCTGCGTTGTTATTCCTGGCGTTTCCATTCTCCACGATGTCCTGAGGGGCTTTCCTCGGGAAAAAAATGGGACAGCCAGGAGCGAAAGCCAAGCGTTGCGCGCGGCGGTAAAGGAAGCCGCCCGGGGCAGGGGGACGCTCCGCGGCCGGGAACGGAGCTGGCCTTGTCCGCGCGGAATCTCGCCTTGTTTCTGGGTCA